CCAGACCAGAATAGGACATCCCACTGTCACATTATAATCCATACAGGATCAACTCAGACCAAGGAAAAGATCCTTAAAGCTGTCAAGGAGAAAAGGGTAATCACCTATAAAGGGAAACCAATTAGAATCACCTCAGATTTCTCAGCAGAGACAATCAAAGCAAGAAGAGCCTGGAATGATGTATGCCATGCCCTAAAAACAAACAACTATCAACCAAGAATACTGTACCCAGCTAAACTCTCCTTCATAACTGAAGGCCAAATAAAAACCTTCCATAGCAAAGAAAAATTGAAACAATACATCTCCACCAAACCAGCCCTACAAAAGATTCTTAAAGATGTCCTACACATAGAAAACCAACAAGACCGCAACAAAGGCCAAGAAACTGCACCCAAACTGAGAATCCAAGAACCATAGGAAGAACCCAGTTTTCGCAGCCCCCAAGAAGGTGGATAACATGGCAGGAACTCCCAAATACCTCTCAGTCCTATCTCTTAACGTTAACGGACTGAACTCTCCAATTAAGCGACATAGACTGTCTAGTTGGATTAAAAAACAAGACCCTTCTATCTGCTGCCTTCAGGAGTCACATCTTGCCCGTAAAAACAAACACATTTTCAATGTTAAAGGCTGGAACAAAATCTACCAAGCAAACGGCCCCCATAAACAGGCGGGAGTTGCAATCTTAATATCAGATAAAATAGACTTCAAATTAAAATTCGTGAGAAGAGATAAAGAAGGTCGCTACATACTAATTAAAGGATCTCTCCTTCAGGAGGATATTACAATTCTAAATATCTATTCGCCAAACAATGGAGCACCCAAATTTATCAAAGAAACACTACTTTCCCTCAAATCCCATATAGATCCAAAGACATTAATTGTTGGGGATTTTAACACACCACTCTCCCCACTAGATAGATCAACTCGGCAAAAACTCAACAGAGAAACTGCAGATCTAAACAGCTGCATAGATCAACTAGACTTAACAGACATCTACCGAACATTTCACCCAGCAGCATCAGAATACACGTTTTTCTCAGCAGCACATGGAATGTTTTCTAAAATAGACCACATTTTAGGCCACAAAGCAAACTTGTCTAAATTCAGAAACATTGAAGTTATACCTTGCATTCTCTCTGACCACAAGGGAATAAAATTAGAACTCAACACCAAAAGCCACCAAAGAAAGTGCAGTATCACATGGAGGCTGAACAACACACTGCTGAATCAAGAGTGGGTCATGGAAGAGATTAGAAAGGAAATTCAAATGTTCATGCTATTCAACAAAAATGAACACACAAAATACCAGCTCCTCTGGGACACAGCAAAGGCAGTACTCAGAGGCAAGTTTATAGCTCTGAGCTCCTACATCAACAAATTGGAGAGATCTGAAACTAGCAATTTAATGACACATCTAAACCTCCTTGAAAAAGAGCAGCAAGATAAACCCCAATCCAGTAGACGGAAAGAAATAATCAAAATTAAATCAGAATTAAATGAATTAGAATCCAAAAAAACTATAGAAAGAATCAACAAAACAAAGAGTTGGTTCTTCGAAAAACTTAACAAAATTGACAGACCCTTAGCAAATCTTATCAGAAAAAGAAGAGAACACACCCAAATTAATAAACTCAGAGATGAGAATGGAAACATCACCACGGAAACAACCAAGATTCAGAACATTATAAGGGAATAGTTCTCAAAACTTTATGCTAATAAGTTTGAGAACTTGACAGAAATGGACCTTTTCCTAGCAAATATTGACATGCCAAAACTAAACCAAGATGAGTTAAACCAGCTTAACAGGCCCATATCAAGCACTGAAATAGAAACAGCAATAAGAGACCTCCCAGCTAAGAAAAGTCCAGGACCAGATGGTTTTACAGCGGAATTTTACAAGGCCTTCAAAGCAGAGCTCACACCAATACTCCTCCAACTCTTTAATGAAATTGAAAGAGAAAGCTCACTACCGAACACATTCTATGAAGCCATCATAACCCTCATCCCAAAACCAGGCAGGGACTCATCAAAGAAAGAGAACTATAGACCCATTTCTTTGATGAACATTGATGCAAAACTTCTCAACAAAATTTTGGCCAATCGACTTCAACAATTCATCCAAAAAATCATACACCATGATCAAACAGGATTCATTTCAGGGATGCAAAGCTGGTTCAATATACGCAAATCAATTAATATTATTCATCACATCAAGAATAAGAATAAGAACCACATGGTTATCTCAATAGACGCAGAAAAAGCATTCGACAAGATCCAACACCCCTTTATGATCAAGGTTTTGGAAAAATTAGGAATCCATGGAACATTCCTCAATACAATAAAGGCTGTATATGACAAACCTACAGCCAGCATTATACTCAATGGTGAAAAACTAAAGCCATTTCCTCTTAACTCAGGAACAAGACAAGGATGCCCACTCTCTCCACTTCTCTTCAATCTAGTATTAGAATGCCTAGCTACAGCAATAAGACAAGATGCAGACATAAAGGGGATCCAAATAGGGAAAGAAGAAATAAAACTCTCCCTCTTTGCAGATGACATGATCTTGTATTTAAAGAATCCCATAGACTCCACTCCCAAATTACTCAAGCTGATTCAAAACTTTGGCAAAGTAGCAGGTTATAAAATTAACCCCCAAAAATCAATGGCTTTTCTGTATGCCAACAATGAGAAAAGTGTGGCTGAAATTAGGAAAGCAACTCCATTTGTAATAGCCCCACAAAAAATAAAATACCTCGGAATTAACTTAACTAAAGAAGTGAAGGACCTCTATGATGAAAACTTTAAAATCTTGAAAAAGGAAATCAACACAGGACTTAAAAAATGGCAAAACCTCCCATGCTCCTGGATTGGAAAGATTAACATCGTGAAAATGGCAATACTTCCCAAGGCTATCTACAAATTCAACGCAATACCTATCAAAATTCCACCCTCATTCTTCAAGGAAATAGAAGAGGCAATCCAAAAATTCATATGGAACAATAAAAGACCCCGAATAGCAAAAACGCTCCTCAACGGAAAGAACACTGCTGGAGGAATATCAATACCAAATTTCAAACTCTACTATAAAGCCATAGTAATCAAAACAGCTTGGTATTGGCATAAGAACAGACCTCAGGACCAATGGAATAGAATTGAAAACCCAGAAATGAACCTACAGACCTATAGCCATCTAATCTTCGATAAGGGAGCTAAAACAATAGAATGGAAGACAGACAGCCTCTTCAGTAAATGGTGCTGGCAAAACTGGTTAACTACATGTAGAAAACTAAAGCTAGATCCTTATATATCACCCTGCACCAGAATCAACTCCAAATGGATCAAAGACCTTGAACTCAAAGCAGACACTCTAAAAACATTACAGGATGGAATAGGAGAAACCCTGGGTCTCCTTGGCTCAGGCCGAAATTTTCTGAATAGAGACCCGGAAACACAACAAATCAAAGAAAGGTTGGACAAATGGGATTGTATAAGGTTGCAGAGCTTCTGCAGGGCAAATGACATAGCTAGCAAGATCAATAGAAAGCCCTCGGACTGGGAGAAGATCTTTACTAGCCATACAACGGACAAGGGTCTCATATCTAAAATATACTTGGAACTCAAAAAATTAAACCCCCCAACAACAAATCCTCAAAGAAACAACTGCCCAATAAGTAAGTGGGCGAAAGACTTAAAGAGAAGCTTCTCTGAAGAAGAAAGAAGGATGGCCAATAGACACATGAAGAAATGTTCAACATCCCTAGCCATAAAAGAAATGCAAATCAAAACAACATTGAGATATCACCTCACTCCAGTTAGAACGGCAAAAATCAAGAACTCTAACAACAACAGATGCTGGAGGGGATGTGGACAGAAAGCAACCTTACTTCATTGTTGGTGGGAATATAAACTTGTTCAACCACTTTGGAAAGCAGTATGGAGGTTCCTCAAAAGACTTCACATAGAGCTCCCCTATGACCCAGCAATCCCACTTTTGGGCATTTACCCAAATGTTTACAAACTAGACCACACTAAAGCTACCAGCACACTATGTTTATTGCAGCATTATTTACCATAGCTAAGATATGGAACCAACCCAGATGCCCCTCAGTAGATGAATGGATCAAGAAAATGTGGTATATATACACAATGGAATTCTATGCCTCCATCAGAAAGAATGACATTGCCCCATTTGTTAGGAAATGGAAAAACTTGGAAAAAATTATATTAAGTGAAGTAAGCCAGGCCCAAAGAAGCGTAGGTCCCATGGTTTCCCTTATTTGTAATATCTAGTATATGTATGAGTCAAGCGGAAAAGGTCAGATAATGTGATGTCAGGAAAATGAACCCTTAGATGTGTATTTTAATGGTTTTTTTCTTTCATGCATGTGTTTCTAACACATTTATAAGATTATCTCTTTGTTGCTTTGTATGTCCCTCCTCCACAGTATAACCCCTGCTTTCACTATATTTGATGTCAGTATAACTTGTGGAGGAGATGGGGAAAAACCAGTTGTTTAAGGATACAGGTGGACCTGTTGCAACAATGAGAAGTACAAGTTGTCATGTCCAAAACGAGCTTTACAACGTTGGTGCGGGGGGGGGGGGGGGGGGGAGGGGGGGGGGGAAGGAGAAGGATTGGGATTAGGGGGGGAGGGGGGAGGCTGGGAAGGGATGTGAAGGATAAACAAAGGAGGAGGCTGCAATGCTTGGTAAGAAATGTACGCATTATCCTGCCCATGTAACTGTAACTCCTCTGTACAGTATGTTCACAAATAAAATTAAATTAAATTAAAAAAAAAAAAAAAGTACTGTAGGCTCCATCTCCAAAATGACCAGCAAAAACTAGGTCTGGAGGCATGGTTGAAGTGGTAAAGCATGACCCAAGTAAGGAAGCTAGCTAAGCAGGCCCTAAGTTCAAACCCTGATGAAATAACACTCTGGAGGAAAAAAAGTTAAAAAAATTTACAGATAGGATCACAGTGACATTCTCTTACCTCTTGTAAAAACTTTTCACTCATCTGACTGAAATGATGTCCTGGGGGCTTGATCCCAGACACCATTAGCCCAGAGCTGAAGACCCTTGGCTTCTGTAAGTCAGGCTTGAATTTCTCATAGAGGTTGGCAGATGGCTTAAGGTCGCCACCTGCAGCCTTCTCCTCCTGGACAAGAGGCATGCCACATGCAGGAGGGGTGTACGGAAGCCCCACAGGGACCAGCGAAGTGTCCACCGGGCCCAGTGCTGGCGGATTCCTCCTTATATAGGTGATGATCTTAGGTCTCACATGCTTGGGTTTGGGCATAACCACAGGCTTCACTTCTGTCCTTTCCTCTGGTTTTTCAATGAGATGTCTCTCCATTGCTTCCTGTGAAGCAGGCGAGTCCTTGGAGTTTGTGACGACAGGTTTGGGAATGCCACTGAGGCAGGTGTCCTTGTCAGGCACTTTGGGGAATGTCTTCAATACCTGCGGGCTGTCAATGGAGGGTAAAGTGAAGGGGTCCACATTGCACACGTCAAGGTTCTGAAAACTGCTACAAGGTGGCGTGGGCTGCTGGGTCATGTTCACAGTTGCCTCTGAGTGGAGGGGGGCTGGAGTACTGAGAACTGAATCTGCCCTCAATGGGATTTCCGTCTTGGCTGCATTTTCTAGATAGTTCCTACTTTCAGCCTCAGGTATCGTGGTCTCTTTGCTTTGCTCTACTTCCAAGCTGCTGCTCTGAGGGTCCGGGTGGGCAGGGCCTTCAGTGTCACTCTGTACAACAGAAGAACCTGAGAGCAATGCCTCAAAACTGGCCGTGGACTCACTGCCCAGCCTTCTCTTGTCTACTCTGACCTCGGGGGACCGGCTGTCAGTTGAATCACTGGGAACAAAAGCCATATGGCCATCACTAGATGAAAAGTTTCTAGGTGTCATTTCCCCCCACTCCCTACCAGGAGTTGGTGATGTTTTTCCAGTGGGCTGACTACCAGCCACTCCTAGGGGAGCAGGGCCCTGTTTGGGGGCAGTTTGGAGTGGATGCTCCACACCAAGGTTGCCTGCCATCTTCCCTCCATCACCGCTGTCTCTTCCCATCCCATGAGGCTGGCGGCTGCTGGATGGACCACTAACTACAGGAGTGGTTTCCTGGGTTGACATACCTTCTTCCCTGTGACACCCTGGACCTCCCGCCAGGCTTGACTTGAATTCCTGCTCTGCCTTAGCCTGAACAGGTTTCATCTCCAATTCTGCATCTCTCTTTCCTTGGCCTAATTGTGCTTCTGGATAATGCAGGTTGTCCTTTGATTCTGACCTTGAATTCAGAGCAAGGTCCAGAGGGGCAGCCCTGGCTGAAAGTTCACTGTGAGCATTCTGTCCCTGTGTACCTGCTGTCTGGGTCTCTGAGGGACTGGTCTCCTGGGCTTCTGAGGTAGATGGTTTAGGGGGACCCAAATTCTCTCCCTCTGAGGTACCATCAGCTGGAGGAAAAGCAGTTCCCCTGGAATCATCAGCAAATGTCCTCTGTGATGCCTCTCCACCCTCAAGCACATGACCCCGGGGCTCAGGAGTGTCCATCCAGGTAGGCTGTAGATACTGAAGAATCCTGCTGCCAGCTGTGGCTGTGGAGCTGCTTGCTCTATGCAAAGAATGCCTCTTCAGCTCCTCATTGTCAAGTGTCTTTGCCAATTTGTCCTTGGGAGCATGTCTGGGAACCTCAGTGTTCCTTTTAGCCAAAACCTCTGGACTGCTCTCAGCTACTATATTCCTCCAACTTACCAGACTTGATCCCTGGCCACTTTGAGGGGTTGACAGAAAATCTGCGCCTTGGTCTATAGTACATTCTTCATTTAGTTCCCGATGGACAGTGGGAGAATGTTTATTATCTTTCAGGCTGGTAGAGCCAGGCTGAGATACTTTCCCAGAGCCCTGGAGTCGGTGAGGGTCACTGTAAAAATGGGGGTGCTGTCCTGGCCCACTTGAATTTGCATTTCCAAGTTCATCAGCCAGATCACATGTCTTGGCCTCTTCACAAGAGGAACTGACCTCCAACATGATTGGATTGGCATTTGTATCTCCAAGACTTAGAATATGCTCGTTGTTATTTTTCGCTCCATTTCTGTTGTCCCGCAACTGATTGAAACATGATTTCTTGGGGGCCACAGGGATGCTCATTGTCAACCCTTCACTGGACAATGCTGGCCATACAGTTCTCCTCAATGGGGAATGGACTTCCTTCAAGCTTTAGCTCAAGTAACAGATAATCTTCAAGCTGCTTGTCCCCCTCTGGCAATGTCACAGTACAACACAGCTTTAGCCTTCTTCCAAAGAGTTACAAAAGCCAGCATTGTTTGTGATGCTCAATGAGACCAATTAGTCCATAAGACCTAAGAAAACAGAAAAGGATGTTCACATTAGACTGACACATAGAAATACTTGGGAGGAAGAAGCATGGCAAACACATACTGGCAAAACTCCTCACTTCCATCCTGTTATTTCACACAGTAATTTTCCTCAAAACTCTTTCAGATACAGGTTCCTGCTGAGGAAGGAAAAAACTGAAACATCAGATGGGCCAGTGTCAGAGATGAATTAGAAATGTGTGTTGTCCAGTAGAATTTTACTCATCGGTTATGAAGAATGATATTATATCATTTACAAAGAAATGAATGGACTTGGAAAACCTATGTTAAGTGAAGTAAGGTAAGCCCAAAGGACAAAAGATGCATGTTTTCTCTCTTCTGTGGAAGCTAGATCTAATTTGTAAATATATAAGGGAATATATAAGAGGTTGTATGCAGGGGCTGGGAAGGTGGCTCAGTGGTAGAGCGCTTGCCTTGAATGCATGAGGCCCTGGGTTCGATTCCCCAGCACCACATAAGCAAAAAAAGAAAAAAAAAAAAAAAGAAAAAAAAAGATAAGAGGTTGTATGCAAGCACACACAACCATACTAACTGAAGTATGGTATTTACAGAGGAGACTCTAAATGATGTAACTACTTAGCCCTACAGTTATGTAGATATGACCATAAGTGAAATGAACTCCAAGACATGGACACAAGAGTTCTTTCTTTGTTGTTGTTTGTGATTTCTTTTTTCTTTTGTGATTTGTCCCCCATTGTTTATCCCCTGCTGTCAGTGCATTCGATTCTGATACCCTGGTTACTGTAGATATGTTTATCTGAACTAGAACAGGGAAGGGGAACAACAAAATAGTGAGACAAAGGACAAAGGAGGAGCCTATGCAACAGCGAAACTCACAAGACAGTATGTTGGAAATGATCTGTACAACTTGTGGGGGGTTGGGGAAGGGAAAGAGGGAGAAAAATGAGGGAAGGTACAAAGTCAGACAAGAAATATAATCACTACCTTACTTATGTAACTGTAACCCTTCTGTACATCACCTTGACAATAAAAAAAAATTTTAAGAAAAAAGCTCACAGTGGAACAAAATGAATACCATGAAACTGGCCCTTGAAAGGTGTAGGGGATCAAGAGGATGAGGGTAGATAAAGGAAGCGGCGAGGGGGGAAAAGAATGTAGTTATAATAAGCCATATCCTATGGAAGTAGGAAAGTTGAGAGGAGGGGTTGTGTTGGGAGGGATGAAGGAGAATGGTCAGAGGGCGATATTGATCAAGATGCATTATACTTATGAACTTATGAACTGATTTGTGGAATGGTAACCCCTTTGCACAACTACTTAAAGATAACAAAAATAATAAAAAGAAGTACCTGTTATCTATAATTTAAATATTAGAAGTCTAAAAGTTCATTCTAAAAAGGATGGATGAAAAGGGAAGACTCTTCTTCAAAAAAGGAATATGAACTAATGTCAAAAATTATAGCATTTGAGAAATCACTATTTTGCCATCATTAGAGTACCTTGGGCAGGAAACACCAATGGGTGGTAGAAAGACTGTGTTAATGATCACTGAGGAGCAACCTATCAACCAACTCTTAAACCATCCAGATTTCCATGTTTCTCACAAAAGGAGAAATTTTTCTTGACAATGAATACATCTGGTGGACAGCATCTTAACCAAGTGATCAGACTGAACACGAGCAGTGACGATAATGACATCACACACATCTGCTCTCAGAGCCCTGCATCACCTGGACAGTGTTGCTGACATGGATGTTCAGCTCAGATTTCATCCTCAAGAAACCATCAGACAAATCTAAATTGACATATCTTTTCCAAAGCCACTGGCCACTGGAGGCTGAATTTTTCTTTAGTTATCAAAGACATTACTGGGACAATTCTAAGTTTAAATATGGACTGTATAATAGTAAAGGTTTCTTATCAATATTAATCCTCTTAGGTGTACAATAGCATAGTATCAGATGGTGTCAGAGATTATCTTTGTTCTTGGAAAACAGATGCTTGAGAATTAAGAGAAAACATGGCAAGATTTACTCTCAAACAATGCAGAAAGTAAAAATATCCATATACATGCTTACGTATACAGATTGTATATCTTATAAGACAAAATAATGCCACAGTCTCCCTCTTTTCTGCAGTTTGTTTTCTGCTGTTTTGGTTTCCAGAGCTCAACTGTGGTCTGAAAATACTCTGTGAAGTTCCAGAAATGGACAATCGGATTAAATGGGTTGCTGTTCTTACTACTGGGGTAAAACCTGCACAAGCATCCTTACTCATGTCTGTTGAATTCATGCTGTGTCTACACTATCTGCCCTTCAGTCACTCAGAAGCTGTTTAGTTATTAGACTAATTGTCATAGTAGCCCAGTGCTGAATTCAGGTAACTCCTATGATTACATAGCCTAATGCTAATGGCAATGTCTGCATTGTTCACCTCACTGAATTCCACAGCAGACACTGAGTGTCCCATCTCAATGTAAGAATAGTGAATATAGTCAGAGATAACTCTTAGAGAGAGAGAAAGAAAAAGAGAGAAAGAGCATATTCACATAACATTACAAATACTGTTATGAACGTTCTTTATTACATTAGTTATTGTTGCTAATCTCTTACTGGAACTAAGTTATAAGATGAACTTTCTCATGGTATAAATGTTCAGGCAAAAATACCATATATCTAAGCATCTCCTACAAATCTTGGGACTGTATCTCCACAAATAAGGCTGAACTGCTACATAAATAAACATCTGAGCACCCTTCACTCAACCAAAGACCTCACAGGCACCCCAGTGGCCCTCTCCATCTCAGCCCTTACCTTCCCAACCTAACTTCTTATCTAACAGTCCACCCTGAGCATCTCTACCCACTTGTCCCACACAATTCTCTTTCCTATTCATTGCTTCTGGATTCCTTTCTACAAGCTTGATTTTTTGTCAATGTTTTTCTCAAGTTGTTCCCTTCCGCCCAGACTTCACTAACACACAGTCATCCAGTGGTCTCTGTTTTTCCCTTCCTATGTCTATTTGAGCATAGAAACATGCACACTTGTCCATGCCCATCAAGAGTCATCCCCTGCCACATTGATCTTGGTTACTTTCTATTTTCCCCTTGTGATTGTTGCCATTTATCCTCTTCTACATTCTTATTCTCCTTCCCCTCCTGCCTCCTTGGCCTATCTTTAGTAAGCCAGTGGCACCTCCCAGTTCAGTTTGATGCCTATAGGGCTCTCAACTGAAAGGCTGATCCATGATTGTGGCCTTGGTTTCCCGCCACAGGGAGGATGCTACACATATACCTTGTTCTTTCCTTTATTCAGTTTTGCATATGTTTCCCTCAGAGATACCCACATTCTCTAGGCACAAATACACACAGCATGTTGACGAATCACTAAGACAGCCATTTAAAAGGATGCTCTGCTCTCTGAGCTAGAAAGTAGATAGCTATGAGAGTCAAGAGCAAGAACTTCCACCAACATGGGCCATTGAGCCACAGGACAATGCCTCTAACTCTTTGTGAACTGAAGCACAGATATGAGGCCAAAAGCTCTCTTACGTTTGATCAAGTCTAGGAGAATGAATTTCTACTCAGCAGGAACAAACCAAACCAAAACATCCTAAACCACAATGCACAATATGACTGCCACAAAATGACAAATAGTTATGAAGATCAGTGTCTTACTAGAAAAAAAGTTTATTTTAGTTTTTAAAGGATTGCATCATAGCTATCCTTTGTCTCTGTCAGGAAATAATAACTTTTGCTTGTTGGTAAGAAGACAGAAAACCAGTAACTTCCAAAAGCCCAGTATGGGTCTCAGTATCTAGATTCATTTGTAAAACTTAAGTTTTAAATGATGATTGTATAATTTGCTAAGGTTGCTCCCTGTCCCCCTACTCACATTGAAATTTAATCTACATCAGAAGGGTAGAAGCAGTCTGACAAGGGTATTTAGAGATGATTAGGCCTAGAAAGAGCCATGAGGGTGGAACCTTGTGTTTGAACACTGATGGCTTCATAAAAAGGAGATAGAAACCAGCATGAGCATACATCATATGAGTTTTTGTGTGTGTGCATGCGCACACATAAACACACACACACACATGCATGTATTCATGCTTCCTATCCTCAACATGTGATGCCCTGAGCTACCTTAGGACTCTACCAGCAAAAGAATACCGCCAGACCCAGACCCTTGACATTGACCAGAACCAGGAGCCCAAATCAACCCTTGATTCTCCCTAATTTACCCAGTCTATACTGAGATGCTAGCAACAGAAAACAGATTGATCCATAATTATAATTGATTTAACTTGAACCTTAATTTTAATTTAAGAAAAAGTGATATTCATAACATCCCCAAGAAATAGGTCTTAACATTCTCTTCCTTTTTCCCCCTGCTTCTTTTACCTTTTCTCTTACAAATATGGAAATGAAGGCACAGAGTAGATGACATTCCAGACACAGGTTGACCAGCTGAGAGGCAGAGCAAGAACAGAGAGAGTGAGGCCTGTGCCAAAGGACAGCTGGAGGGATGTAATTATACAGGTGTGAGGAGAATAAAGGGGGGAAAGGCAGCATTGTAATAATAACCATGGAAAAAGTAAAAAGCAGAAGCCAGAATAGTAAAACGAGCTCATATTAGACAGAAAGAAGCCTAGTTCACCTATTTCAATTTCATTTGTGTAAGGTGATATGTTTCCCACTTCCCTCCCTCCTGCCTTGACCTCTCCCCAGACCAATCAACTTGCCAGAAGATGGTCACAAAGAAAATACAAACAGGAAGGATTTTTCTGTGT